GTTCTGTATGAATAAATAAATAAATCTTTAAAAAAAAAAAAAAACTGTGTAAGACAGAAGAAATTAGTCTCAACTTATACTATTTTATTCTGTATGTAGGTCTTTGTTTTGCTTGTAATTTTATGTATTTGGTGAATAGTATGGTCTATCAACAAAATTACTAAGTAACTGCTAAGAATCCTCCTTAGACAAATATTCCGTATAGCAACAGATGACTTTCTGACTGAAGTTAGAAAGAAGGATGTGACTTTCTGACTGAAGTTAGAAAGAAGAAGGATTTGACCAACTGTACTCTGGACTTCCTGGAAGTGTTCACATGAGAGCCAATTATCCTAGAAAATCTACCAGCTCTGAACTCAAGCAATGGTATAATTTCAAATACAATTTCAAATGTCTTCTAGTGAGAATCACAAAATACTATATGTAGGAAGGCAAGCAATACACTATTATTTGTTGGTTCTATTTGCTTCTGTAAAAATTAGTATTATTGAGGCCCTCCCTCCCTGGTGGCTCAACAGGTTAGGACACAGCACTGCGAGCTAGCCAGAGTCACTTCAGTGTGAGTTCGACCCCTGCACTGGAGGTGATCCACATGTTGCAGCAGACCTCTCCTGTCTTGCCTACTGCTCCCCTCAACAGAGTATTTCAGTTAATCTGCCCTTTGTGCTCCCTACTGTCTCTGGTGAATCCTCTCACCGCCCCTGCACCTCTGGCCTGTACCCCAGTTCTGTATGCATATAAATAAACCTTAAAAATTATTATTATTAGATATGCTTAACTTAATAGAAAATAAAAACACATTCTATATGTTTAGTATGCCACTACTTATAAACTCCAGATGTGTTTAATGTGTAACAGTCCTCCATGCTATGTGGGAAGCATTACTAATTTAAAGAATGCAATCTGCTTAGAACAGACAATTTCATAATATAGCCATTAACTTACTCATAAAAGAGCATAAAGATGAGATGGATATTTGAAATGGCAGATAAAAGAAAATGGAGCCATTCTGCCGTACAACTAGACAGTCATTACTGCAGTTGAGGAATGAAATGCTTTGAAAATGAATGGATGAGTAAAACAACTGAATGGTTAAAAAACAGAAAAGAAACTCAGGTATAAAAATGATTACGTCAGCTGACCATGTGCTGTTATTAAGCTCTGCTGTAAGGTAGGACTGAACCTTCCATGCGACATGCTGCATGCAGATACAGTCTGCAGATGGGAATGGTGATAAAAAGATGCAAAATTTCAGGTTACTGCTCAAAAAGAGCATGCGGAAAGCATGTGCATTTATTATTTCACTTAATACTGACTGGGTGTGCTTAAGGTGCCAGGAGAAACCAAAGATGAATAAGACACTGGTTCTGGCCATAAGAACTCATAGTTCAGTAGAGGAGATGGCCCTCTAAGTAAAACGTTAACAATTTGGTGTGGCTGCTGAAACTCAAACAGAAGTCTGGTAAGTGCTGTGGAACCATATGGTCAAAGCAATAGCTTTGAAATTATCACCAAAAAATTTGATGCTTTATCTCTACTAAAATTTAGGTTTTAAAAGTTAAGTGATTACCTTTAAGAGAGTAAGTTAATATGTAATTCAGACAATTTATTTCCTGGACTAGAGGCATATCATTGCCTATAAAGACATTTATTTAATTTCTCCAATGTCTAATTGTCATAGGAATAACAGTGAGAATAATGAAAGTTTTATTAAATGGCAGTGTTGACAGCCAAATAAGCCACTGAAGTGGGAGTTTATGGGCAATAAAATCCGTGAGCACCATTCTTCTCTTTTTGGGGTATTTTGAAGAAAAGACCGATATTAAAAGTGTCTCAGCTCAGAGACAGAAAGCTCAGTTATGCTAGAGAGAACAAAACCTGTACCATTTGGAGTGGGTGAAAAGACCTGGGCGCCCTACAGAGTCCCCCCAGCCGTTCTGCTGCTCCTTTGCTGAACCGTGGCGGGTTCCGTTGTCAATGCCGCTGTGAAAACAGCTTCACCTTCAGTGCAAAGCAGCCCCAAACTACAAGTTTCCCCAGACTGCTACAGAGTGAATACTTTCCCCCAAGCAGTAAAGGTACCTAAGTCCTAGAAAGAATTACTCTTAAGGCTCAATGCCTCTCTCCAGATATAAATCACTGAAATAAGAAAACCCATTTTGGAAAGAAAATTGAAATGTTTTTTTCAGCTGGAAACATTACTATCTAAGTCTCTTCTATTTGAGCTGTTGCATGTTTCTCAAAAACTTTTAGGTCATTCTCTATTATCCACGTATAACCATTCTTTAATGCTTCTGGTGCCTTAAGTCTGTGACCTATCCATTTTTCTTGTTAAGGCCAGAAAGTAAATACTTCAGCTTTTTAATTCAAGAGGCAAAAATCAAGGAAATTTGTACTTATTTATAAAATCACACAAATATGTAGTATTTTAAAATGTAAAATCAACCTCAAACAACAGAAAAACAAAGGAAAACAAGACACAGATGACTTAGGTGAGTCAGCAATCAGCGGATTTGACTGTAAGTTATAGTCAAATACCCAAAGTGAGCTAAAACCATTTGGTTAATAAATTAAAAATCTTTTGGATTAAGACGTCACCTTCTTCTAATAAAAACGTGCAGAATGATTTGACAAAGCCCTACCAAACAGTTTTCTACATGAGAACAGAATTTTTATTACACCTGTAGTGGATGAAAATATCATGTATCTATAGAGTCCAATACAGTAGCCCCTAGACAGAAGTGAGCATTAAGACCTTAATAATTGTTAAATGTGACAGAGGATCTAAAAGTTTTATTTGTGATTAACTTGATTATTTTCAATTTACATTTATATAGCCAGAAAAGGCTACATGGAAAAATAGATTTACTAGTAACTTATATATATAAATTTCCAGGACATATCTCAGTATGTGTGAGAATTTTTTTTTTAAATAATCTAGTATAGTAGTTTGTCGTTACACCATTTTGTGCATTTTCTTTTTTATCTCAGCTGTAATCCCCGTGGGCTTCCCATCAGTGAGAATTTTTAAGCATTAGGTTAGGTGCAAGACATAAATATTTCTATAAAGGTTATACTAACAGATACAATTAAAATTAACTCTTATAATTCATTGGGAGTTAGTAAATTTTCATCAGGTACAGTATGTTACAGATCTGAAAAGATCTTCAGATTAAAGGTAGTTATGCTGTGTCTCCCCAGTACAGTGTGAGTGATAATGTTGCAAGGATGGCAAAAGAGACAGTATTGATAGAGTTTTTAAGGTAGGGAGACCTGCAATAATGCACAAATTCTGCTATACACTCATAATGGGATTTTAGGAAAGTTATTTCACATCTTCAACTGCCTCCTCTCTAGAACAGTATAATAGCAACAGCTTCCCTACTGGTTGGGTGTGATGATCAAATGAGATAAAAGGTTAAAGAATCTAGAACAATGGGGGCGCATTGACATTACTAATGCTACAGTTATCAACATGAGTGCAGATATATGACGTCCTAGGTGACACTCACGCCTGCATACACCCTACAATACTGTCCAAAGCCCAGCTTCGCACCCCTTCCGCCCCCCTGCAGATGAGGGGGTGCACTGCTCTGCTGCCTTCCAGAGGCATCCTGGTATGGCATCCTGGCCCTGCAGCTCACCTGGCTCATGCAGCCAAGTCACATGACAAGCTTGAACTCATTTCCTTTTCTGAAAATGAGAATACCATGTCTTAAGTTGCTGACTAAATAAAGTATGTGGAAAAGTTTTGTGCATATAAAATACATTAGTACTGCAAACGGGACTACAGTGATGGCACATGGGTGAACTGGTGGTGGGAAGACCACAGGGATTACAACTGAAATGAAAAAATGTACAAAATGAAGAATGGTGTAAAAAACATATACATATATGTATATATAAACTTAAAAATACATTAATTCTGGTCTACTCATCATGAATTCATCTTAAAATCAACTCTATTCATCCTTTCCTGTTCCTGAAGAATAACTACTTCCTTTCTTTTATCTCTTGAGTCAAAGGGATCACACACTTCACAACTCTAAGTGTGTGTCACAGAATGAAAGGATGGTACCAGAAGATATTTCTCCAATGGTTAAAAATACTTAATTTACAAGTACTTTGCTTAGTGTTACCCCTTCAATATCAAATCAGCCTCTTTGTCTCTCCCACCTTTTCTGTGTTCCAGGATTCACTGAAAGCATGCCCGTAAGATTTTTTACATATGCAGATATGTTAGCCTCACCAACATGACTACTCACAAATTTTGCTTTTGATCTGGGATGACTTTTACTCTCACTGTGCCTCAGACTCCCTCAGATTGCTTGTCACCCTTTCTGACTTTGAAAGCATGAGTTTCTGAGTGTGATCTGCACTTCATGTATCTTTCATACAGTGAATGTCTAATTCTATTGATCATTGTATCTCCAGTCTATAAGTCAATTTATGTGCTGGTTTACCAACCAGTCTTTTGTGAATCTGGTTACATAAACTCCAAGTAGACAGTAGACTTCATCTACAGTGAACTAATAACAAAGTCAGTTTTCTGAGTCAGCAATACTGATTGATAAGCATGTTGTAGATTATGGTAGCTTCACAATAGTAAATCTTAATGTTACCTCTTGGTAGCCAAACAGAAGAAGGCTGGCTGCCCTGGCAAGACAATAACTCTAACAGATACTTCTTTTAGACTTTAACAAATATTCTTAATCAGTATAAATCTTAATTTCCTTTCTGAAAATTGTCTTCACAGATCTGTTATAGCCAGTCATAATTCTATATAACAGCTCTCATTTTGACTTAAAATGGCCAGCATACTTTCGATAGTTTACTGCTTTCCCAGGCTATAATTTTATCACTATCAACTTTATGTAATTTTCACTTTGATTCCTAAATCTTTCCCAAAACCTTACACACTCCATCATACCCCATTTGTGAGCATGACTTATTTAGCACATCACACGTAAACCTAAATAACCTATGGTTTCCAATTTTACCTTTCGAACATTTGCCAACCGATTCATCATCAAGGACTCCTCTCGGTCGTCGTCGTCGTCCAAGTCCAGCATGGGTATCCCAAAGGGGTCTATGATGCTGCAGCACCTGGAGCCTTCATCTCTCGGATCAAAGGGGTCCACAATTATGGGCTCTGTTCCTTTAATTTCACAGCGACAGAAGGGGCAGCCCTGGCCATCTGATTCCTGAACAACACAAAAATGCGATGATTAGTCTTTGTTCAAGTAAAGCAGTATTGAGGAGGTAATGTTTTCCAACAATAAAAAAGGTCACTAGAAAGTGTTTAGGGAATTAGGCTGGGTGGCAGGAGATCTGTTTTAAAAAGGTAGTACGAGTAGAACACAACAAAATATATGATAAATGTGCTGTATTTCAATTTTTTTGGGAAAAAATTCCTTTAATCTCATTTGATTCCCAAATGACAAGGAATTTAATTTCTTATTCACTTACAGTATCAATGTTATCAAAAGTTTAGGCATAAAGCACCAATGCCAATAAAATAATCTTTAAAATTTTGATAGTCAAAACCAGTACTGTCAATTAAAATAATCCATCTAAAAATTCCTTCTGAACTACTTCCTGTATATATGTATGTATGTATGTATA